TAGATGAGACTACTGAACTGAGTTTTATTCTGCATGAACGGTTTGTCATGAAGGCTTTGATATTGAACTGAATCTGATTCTGTTTTAATGGTTTGTCATTGAACGTTTTGCTATTGAACGGAATTTGATTCCGCATTAATGATTTATCATTGAAAGTTCTGTTATGTTTACATGGTTTGTCTGGCAAGCTTAAAAGTTTTACCCAAGGGCTATCCATATTTACTTACTGAGTTATCTCATAGTTTTCCTTGTCCACCATTTCAGGAAGTGATACCGAGGATGGGGAAACCGAGGGGAGTGACGAGTTAGAAGGCTAGCCATCGTGTAAATTGAATATGGATTTTAGATATGAATGATGATCTTGTAAGCGAGATTTTTCTTATACCATAAAAGTTTATAGTATAATTGTAACTAAATAATCAAAATATTCTATACAAAAAATTAATAATATCTAAATATACAATTTTTTATATTCATTTACTTTATTTAGTTATGGTTTGGTTTTTTGTCAAGTAACATTCGGAATCTCTTGGTTCAAAATGAGGGCAAAACGAATTAGAAGCTAGATAAGGCAACAGGTGGGAAAAGTGCTTATTGGACCCTATTGGGATCGAAACCCGTCCCAATAATTTATACGGACCGGTTTCGGTCCCAATATAACTCAGAATCTATAAATTCTTGTCAAAATATATGGATTGGTTTCGATTTGTATACATATGCAGAATATCATTAGGGTTTAGGGTTGTGCTTGTTTTGTTCTACTCTCATTTTAAACTATAACATTCTGAATGTGTGCGTGCCAAAGTGGTTAACCTTAACTGAATAAAATCAATTTTAATTGTTTGCACCTCTGAAAGGACATTACTTAACCTTAAATCTAATAACTTTATACTTATACATTCATGGTTTCGTAACGATGTCACTCTATACCATTGTTAGATAATTTCAGGTGGTCAATCGATGGTTCCAAGGTTGGAGAGGACTGTAGTGTCAATATACAAGCAATTGGCTTTCATAACAACAAAATCGGGCCACGGGAGGATAGTGATGTCCTTTAATGAAAAGAAAAAGAATGTGCACCGAGAGAACTTTTTGGATTTTTTGTAATATATTCGAACAAAAAATAGTCTAAAAAAGTGTAAGTGTAGAAGTTTCTAGATGCTGGACATATATACAAATCACACCTGGTTCGAATATATTCTAGTGTCCGCAAACCCTGTTAGGGTTTTACATATATACGGACCAAAATCGGTCCATATATACATGTAAAACACAATTGAGTTTATTCATGTATATATGGACCGATTTCGGTCTGTATTTCCAAGTGAAACCCTAATAGGGTTTACATGTATATATTTAGACCGAAAACGGTCTGTATATACATGAATAAACTCAATTGTGTTTTACATGTATATATGGATCGGTTTTGGTTCGTAAATAATTTATGCAGCAAATTTTTATCAAAAATTTAAAGCTTTTCATTTCTACACTCATTTATTTATATTCGAATTGATTTCGGTCCGTAAATAATTAATGCCGCCAAAAATTTTATCGAAAAAATTGAAGTTTTTGGTGGGGCACGCCAATTATTTATGTTCGGACCGGTTTCGGTCCTTATAAGCCTTATATATATTACCATTTCCCTTCCATTTCCTCATTTTCTCTTCTTCCTCTTGTCTCCTCCTTTTTCTTGCTGTTTGTTTTTTCTCCTTCCTTTACTTTCTCATTTCCTTTCTTCTTTTTCTCCTTTTATTCTTCTTTCTCTTTTCCTTCTATTTCCCTTTCTTTCCTTTCTTGTTTCTCTGCACCTCTTTATCTTTTCTTTCCCTTTAATTTTTCTGTTTTCTACCATGTTTCACTTGCCTTTTTTTTTTTCTTCTACAAGTATTTTATATATTTTTTAAATATTTTTTGTTGTTTTTTGTATTTCTTTATTTTTATTGTTTATAATATGTTTATATTTTATTGACTAACTTTTTTTTCTTTTTTTTTTTGTAGGTTACATTTGCTGAATTTTAAAATTTTTCATATATATATGTTTATTTTATTTTATTTTTCAATTTTCTTTTTTATTTACATATATTTTGGTTTTTTTTTGTAAGAAATGTGGAGAATTTCAAGTAAAAGCATTATAGATAATCATTGGCATAATATTTTTTTATTTTTTGTAATTTATATTATTTAATTTTTATTTATATAGTTGTAGTTGATATATATTTATATTTTATTTTTTTATTTACAATCATAATTATTGTTATTGATTTTTTTTTAATTACCAATATTATATTCTCATTTATTTTTATATGATTTATACTTACAATTTTAATTTAACTAAATAAGTTTATATTTTTATTAAGTAAAACTAAAACTAAAACTGTAATACCCCAAAATTTTGTGATATTTAGCACTTAGTTAAGGACTTGATTGTGAGGAAATATTGTTTTGGGGCTTATTAGCTAAAATGTCCAAACTTGAATGACTTAAAAGAGTAGAGATTTGGATAAGGACGGGGTATTTTTTCTTCCTTCTTCCCCAGCCATTTCCCGATTCTGCTCTTCTTCTTTTTCTTCCCCTGCATCGAATAAAGCCCAGCCACCGACCGCAGCCTTCCCTTGAGAGAAATCGGTAAGAAGCTTGGATTTTTCTCTTCTTTTCTTGTTCTAGAACAAGATTGGAACCCAGAAATTCTCCCCCCCTGCTGGAAAATCCGGATCTGCTTTGCTCTGTCCGCCGGCTGCTCTTGTTGTGGGTGCAAATTCTGGGCATTTTTAGGTAAGAAACAGCCATGAATCTCCCTTCTCTAGCTTTGATTGCCTTGGGTTTACCTTAATTGCTCTTATTTCCTCCAATTTCCGGTAGATTTCCCTTGAATTTCTCCTGCACTTGCCGCCGGCTTCTTCTCCCTGCAGCTTCGGTTCCTTTCTTGCAAATTCTGGTAAGTGGCAGCCCCATCTAAGTCCTAATTTACCCCTTTAATTGTTGAATTTTGTCCATGGATTGGCTGCCCTTGTGATGTCCGAATTTTACAGAAAATAGGGAGGAATTCCGGTAGCCTTTGAACATGTTTTAAGCTTGGTTTAAGTGTAAATTAGCTTGATTTAGATTGTTGTGATTTTTGGAGAGAAAATCCCGTGAATTAGCTAGTGTTTTGGCCAATTTCGGAAGTGCAGTTACTGTTCACGGCACTGTTCACGGGTACTGTTCACACACCAAGGGCCAACAATTAACGGAGATTTAAATGATTAGTTTGTAATATAAGAACAAATTTGAAGATATTTGATCATGTGGAGATTGATAGGAATAGCATCGGGATTAGGGGTGATCTTAATGAAGTATTTAGTTTGAATTTGTGATGGTATGGTATTAATTCTAGATATTTTGATTAGGTTCCCGATTGTTCTGTCAGTTAGCACTGAGATTGAGTGTTTGGTTTTATGCGAGTGAGATAAATAAATTTATGGTAATGCCCGTACTGTTTTGAAAAGCATGTTTTGATTTGTTTTTGAAGTGGTGGCGGGACTAAACCCGTTTTACACAAGTATGATCGATTGAAGTGAAATCTTTATGTTTTTCATTAAATTGAGCATGCCTACTTGAAATTTAATTGATTGTCCTGATGATTCGAAAGTGAATGTGAATTGTGATTTTTTTGTGAACTTCTGCCTGTTTTGTCTCCGATGTGGTTATGTTATTCTAACCCTGCTAATGGGGGTTAAACGTTAGCACATGTCGGCATATGTAGATATGTTAGTGATAGAATCGGTTCGTTCAAGTGACCTTGTTAGTGGGGATTATACACTAGTAAATCGTGTGCCTGCCAGTGGGAGGTTTATAACACTGGCCGTGACCTATAGAGGAGACGTCTATTTCATTCCTGTACTGTATCTGTTTTTGTGATTATACTTGTTGGCATGCTATAAGTTTAATAAAGGACACTCCATATTTTACTTACTGAGTTTATCTCATAGTTTTTCCTTGTCCACCGTTTCAAGAAGCGAAACCGAGAACGGGAAAACCACGAGAAGTGACGAGTTAGAAGGCTAGCCATATTGTAATCTGATATAGATTTTAGATGTAGTCCATGATCTTGTAAGCTAGACTATATTTGGAGATTTATGATATCAGAGTAAATTTTAAAGATTTCATTCCCGTACTGTATCTGTTTTTGTGATTATACTTGTTGGCATGCTATAAGTTTAATAAAGGGCACTCCATATTTTACTTACTGAGTTTATCTCATAGTTTTTCCTTGTCCACCATTTCAGGAAGCGAAACCGAGGACGGGAAAACCACGAGAAGTGACGAGTTAGAAGGCTAGTCATATTGTAATCTGATATAGATTTAGATATAGATCATGATCTTGTAAACGAGATTTTAATTGGAGATTTATAAATGCATTTAATGGATTGTTAGTTTACAAAAGATTTGACCGAGATTTTGAGCTTAAGTCATATTGGACCTAGAATTATTTTGAAATATCTGTTTTAAGCTATTGGATTGTCAGATGTGAAGTGGATAAGTTCTGAGTTTTGTGCATTTGTGAGACCCGTCTCACGAGTGCACGGCGTTTGTCGCGCCTTGGATTTGGGTTCTAGGGCGTGACAAAAACTAAGATTGAAATTTATGTTTATTTGTTTATAGTTTAAATATAATGTAATTAAAATTTTACATATTTTATTTTTTTATAAATATAGTTATTTTGATTTGTAAAATATATTTTTGCATTTGGCAATATTGTGTAATTAATATATAAAATAAATCCTTTTTTTTAATTTTTGATTTCTTTTATTTTTTTTCTTGTTAAAGCTTTTATTTTCAGACCAAAAATGGTTTGAATATAATTTAATATCACGACAATATATCCAACGTATGTTTTGAAAATTATAAATGAGTCCATTATATTCAGACCGACGACGGTCTTGATATATGTCACGCTCCAAAACCCAAATCCGAGGTGCGATAGATGCCGTGCACTCGTGAGACGAGTCCCACAAGTGCACAAGGCTCGGAACTTATTCAAATCACAATTAATACCATCAAAATCTGAAGATCAAAATTTATAATTTACTTCAATATCATAAATCTCCAAGAAAGTCGAGTTTACAATATCACGATTTATTTCTAAAATCTATGTCAATCTCGAAATAGCTAGCCTTTTAACTCGTCACTCCCCTCGGTTTTCCCGTCCTCGGTTTCGCTTCCTGAAATAGTGGACAAGGAAAACTATGAGATAACTCAGTAAGTATGGATAGCCCTTGGGTAAAAATGTAAGCATGCCAGATAAACCAAGTAAGTATAACAGAACTTTCACTGATAAACCGTTAATGCGGAAAAAACTCAGTTCAGTAGTCTCATCTATAAGTCATGGCCAGTGTTATAACAACCCACTGGCAGGCGACAGAAATTTACCAATGTGTTCGCCCATTTGTAGGCGTCGGAATGTGCCAATGTATTCGCCCAGTGGCAGGCGTCAGAATAAACCGATCATATCAGTAAACATGTCGACCTGTGCTAGCGTTACACCCACTAGCGGGGATCGGAAATCATGACCATATCAGAGACAAAACCATGTAGGATTTACAAAAGAAATCCGTAATCCACAATCAAAATCCGTAATTCACAATCGAAATCCATAATTCACAATCGAAATCCATAACTTCAGAAATAACCAAAAAAGTCCATGTGGGCATGGATTTAACAGAAAATCATAATTTACAAAACTCTCAGTTCATCAAAACAGTTCAGTCAGTTTCAAATAGGCATGCTCTACTCAATGTAATGAAAACAATTTCATTCCAATCATGCTCAATTCCAGAAAAACAATGAAATCCCCACTTTCATTCCAATCATGTTCAATTGCCGAAAAACAATGAAATTCTCATAAAAACCATCACAATTTACATTTCAGTTAATCACACTCAGATGCTGATAAAATCAATTTAAAATCAATTTAAACCTTGCCACCATCTCAAAAACAATTTAAAACATGCTTTAAAATCAAAGGGCTTTACCATAATTTTACTTATCTCACTCGCAATAGAACAGAAGGCTAACCCAAGTGCCACGGTGACAGAACGATCAAAACCTAATCATAATATTCCACAGTTAATACCGCACTACCACAAATTCATAATAAAATCATCATTAGCACTACCCCTAATCATAGTGCTATTTCTATTAATCTCCACATAACCGGACATCTCCAAATTCATTCTTATATCACAAACTAAACCTTTAAATCCCCGTTAATCGTTGACCCTCAGTGTGTGAACAGTGCCCCGTGAACAGTGATCCACAGTGAACAGTGACGGTAACTTCAAAAATTTGGGCAAAACACTAGCTAATTTCACGGGATTTTCGCCATTAACCTCACAACAACCAAATTAAGCTAGTTTCTACATGAATTAAACAAAACTCATGCTTAGAGGCTGCCGAACTTCCTCCCCTCTTTCAACAGAATTTCGGACAGCAATTGGGAAATTCAAAAGCAGAAACCCAATCAACACAAGGCAACAATTACATGGATAAATTGGACTTGGAAGAGCCGGCAACTTACCAGAATTCCAGCAAGCAAGCCGGAGCTGGCAGGGAGAAGAAGCCGGCGGCATCTGCAGGGGAAACTCACGGCTACCTCAAAATTGGAAGGGAATAAAGCAATTAAAGTAAACCCAACCTAAATCAAGGTTAAAGAGAGGGATTCATGGCTAAATCTTACCAGAAAAAGCCCAAGAATCGCACCCAACAGAAACGGCTCGCGGACAGGGGAAGAAGACCAGAGCAGATTCGGGATTTTCTGGGTTCAA